GGGGGGGGGGGGGGTTCAATTAAATTCAATCCTAGATGCATAAACATGTATAAAGCTTCCTAGAAATTACATTCTGAAATGAAGTTTCTAAGGCATTATATGTCTGTATGAGATGAAGAATGTGACTATGATATTAATATTGTCATAAGAATTCATGAAAGTGGTTATGAAATATCAAAACATCCATTTTGCTTGAAAGCAAAATTACTGCAGACCTATCCAAACATTTTAAAACCATGCACATGGAATAGAGCAGTTTAGATGAATCAGTAGTACTATGTCACAATAATTCTTCCAGACGTTCTCTGTGTGGTTGAAGAGGAGAAAATATTCATAAGGTACTCTATTTAATGACATTTAATGGCTTATCAGAATCAAACATTTGAATGGTCATGAACTTTATTAATGCACCTCCTGTTCGTGATTATAATATACTGTGGCCTTAAAAAATGTACTTACCATACACCTACAAATGGATGAAATCACTGCATCAGACAACAAAATATCAAACCCTCTTCTAAACAAATGATGCTAGATCTCAGAATTAACTACACTTTTCTAAGCCATTTTTGCAATGACTTTCAATCAGCTGATAAGTTTGGCCAAGTTGATAAGACAGTTATTTAGACATTTTCTGATTAATTTTGAAAAGCATATCTATTGTTATCATATCATGTAGAGCAGCGGTTCTCAATTCCAGTCCTCGCATACCCCCGCTCTGCATGTTTTGCATGTCTCTCTTTGTTAACACACCTGATTCAGATCATCATCTCGTTAGAAGGGAGCTCCGTGCATGAACTGTGTTCCGATTGACATGGTCCCTACACAGTGTCCATTGCTCCCTACTCCCTGAGCAGGGGAAATCCATTGAAGTTTACTTCACTTCGAAATATTCATTGACAGATTTGCGCTGCGCCGCTGCCTGCAGCATCTTCACACACATACAAAACTTACTAGAGAAGTGTGCAGTGGGACATAATATACCTCTGTAAATAAATACAGTTTAAATTCACATCTCGCACACTTAAATGCCCTTTGTATGGAACATACAGGTGCATCTTAATAAATTAGAATTTCGTGGAAAAGTTTTTATTTCAGTAATTCAACTCAAATTGTGAAACTTGTGTATTAAATAAATTCAATGCACACAGACTGAAGTAGTTTAAGTCTTTGGTTCTTTTAATTGTGATGATTTTGGCTCACATTTAACAAAAAACCACCAATTCACTATCTCAACAAATTAAATACTTCATAAGATCAATAAAAAAAACATTTTTAGTGAATTGTTGGCCTTCTGGAAAGTATGTTCATTTACTGTACATGTACTCAATACTTGGTAGGGGCTCCTTTTGCTTTAATTACTGCCTCAATTCGGCGTGGCATGGAGGTGATCAGTTTATGGCACTGCTGAGGTGGTATGGAAGCCCAGGTTTCTTTGACAGTGGCCTTCAGCTCATCTGCATTTTTTGGCCTCTTGTTTCTCATTTTCCTCTTGACAATACCCCATAGATTCTCTATGG